TCAAGTGATCGTTCATACGATGAAAGTGCTTTTGAGTACTCGCCCATTTCATCATACACTACAGCGATGTTGTTGTAGGAAGAAGCCAAACCGAGATCATTCGGAGAGAGAATTTTCTTGTAGATATCCAGTGATTTTTCATAATATAAAAGTGCTTTTGAATACTCTCCGATGTCATCATACACCCAGCCAAGTTGATGATTGTATTCTGCCCGATCTTCATCAGAAGACGCCTTTGCAAGGAGGATCTGATAGAGTTGTTCAGCTTTTGCAGGCTCACCCAATTTAATAAGTATGTACCCAAGTCCAGACCATCCTGTGCGACCACCAAGATCCTCACGTATATGTGCTGTAAGTATGTTCAATTCGTGATTGTCATTACCCACAATAGTGAGATTAACTTCGTACAGCCTATCAGAGTGATTATCGTGAATTCGTTCAATGCGATCGATACGAAAAATCGCATGTGTTGAAAATAGTATTTCTTCCTCTTTGTCTTTGTAGTAGCCAACTTTGCTTACTTCAGCAAATGGTGTCGATGATTTTGCACAAATAGCCGTGTCAATATTCATAATGAAAAGGATGCCAACTGAATTTGTATTAGATGCTGCTGGTCGTGCAAAGTTTTTGAAAGATATCTCACGGTTGCGACTTGTTGACAGAAAATTATTAAAGGACATAAGTCCTCCTTTGGTTTTTTTCATTTTTTCAAAGTCTTCCATGGACAAACCTTGTCCACGAAAGACTTGAAAATTTGTTGGCATGTTTCCTTGTTGTTCACGATATAGTTCGGTAATATGATTATGTAAATGACGGATGAAAAAGCCCATTTTAAGGATGATGTCAACATCCATTTGTCGGAGTCCACGATTCAGCATTGGATATATAAATGTTTCAGTCGTATACCACCATATTGGTGTATGATCACGATATTCATTTTCGACCTTCCTAATTTGACCTTCATCAACATCATCTTGTAGACGACAGTACTCTACGAGATCTTTAATTGATTTGACATCGTCATCTTCAATTTCCAAAAGTGCTTCTTTTAGTAATTGCGTATACATAAATAAGGCATCACGACCATTAAAGCTGATCGAGATCATTGCTCGATCACAATTTTCACGATCGATCTGCAAGGCCTTACAGATTGGTTTGATTTTTGTGTATACACCTTTAACCTTTGGTACTTTATTGGCCCATTGTTCATGGGCCGCTTGGTTGCGACAGAATACATACACAGATTCTAATTGTGGTATGGTTTCAATATCTGTTATTATTTTTTGTCCAAGTGAGCCTGACACTATCATAAATACCTTTTGATTTGTAACGGCACTGAGAAAATCAATGCATTCTTGAGCATCTTTAAATGTTTCGATGCTTGCTACAACACGTCGCAGGCGTCGAAACGATTTCTTGAAATCGTCATTGGACTCATCCAATTTGGCATCAAGCCATAGAAGCCGGAAATTTTGAAGAACCCGACGCCTAGGTCGAGGCAGCACAGCAGCAGCGCGATTGTTCGCGTGGGTAATAGTGGTGGTGCTAGGCATCGCTGTTGCACCACTGATAACAGTTGTTGTCGACTTTTGTTTGCTCATTGTAATTGAACGAATGAATATAATCAGTGAAATGTAGTCCCCTATATTTATAATTGTTAAATTTTTTGTTGGTTAACATCATTCCTTTTCTGACTTGTGGCTACAGACTTCAAGAACCTCTACTATCTGGTTCATTTTTGTTTCAAGAGTGTTACCGACAAAATACAGCGAACCATAAATAAAGAAGAATGGCTAAGGAAACAAATAGTCGCTGAGGACGGACGACATGACTAGTCCGAAATGTCGAAAATACCTGTCCTAACTAGTTATCCTGACATGAAAACTCCTGCAGCTACGTCTGAACTAGTCCAGAATGTCTTCAAACTTCGACATGTCTAACCCGTTTCTCTATCTAATCAGGCCAGATTATTCGGTAGACCAGAAAAAGAGTATTTCTAAAAGTAAAAATTGTGCCTTTCATTACTGGTACTCGCGTTGAAATTTATGCATAGAAACAGTTACTCTGTTTAACATGTTTTACAATAAGATTGTTTTATACATACAAGATTCTGTAACCAAGACAATCGGTTGCATGTATCATCAAGCGAAATTCTCGTAAAACTACTTTATAAACATAAAAATAACACATGTTTATGTACCGTCATTTTTTTTGTGTGTAGCTACTCTTTACTTTTAACTTTAATTTTCTTACTAGTCTAATAATGTTAGAAACTAAATATACTTACGTGCTATGTAATATTGGAGTGTAGCAAATTTTGTTTTGTGTGCTTGCAATCGATTTTATTCTGTATTTATCATTGACAAAATTACTTGGTTTTTTCCCACAAACGTATATTTACATGAATCAATGAAGCATGACTTTTTCATCATGTAAACGACTTTTTCGACCATGTGTTCGTCATAAAATACGTTTCGTTTTTCATATATTCTACTTCTTCCTTTTTTACCTTACCTTTGCGTTTCGTGTTGTTGCAATGATAAAAAATACACTGATGCTTGTATAAGGGTAAATTTGAGTTATGATGATTCATTAGACTTCGAACTTTATTCGAATATCTATATAAATATTTTCTATCGTAAAATTTTTTTTGAAATTGATAATTATAGAAGTAGTGTTGAAAGCTTCAAAATAAATAAATGAAAAATTTTATATTTTTTATTTTATCGTTCGATGTATGAAAAACTCTATTTATCACTCAAACGTCGTTAGATGCATCCGAAGAAAGTATGGCGAATGTGCTTTAAGAAGACTCAGGCATTTTGAGAAGTGGGTGTGAGTGTTTGTATTGCTTATCCCTACACATCCCGACCCTCAATTATTTGGTTTAAATATCTAAGAATTTCAATCATAATCAAGCAATAATCAACAATCAATGAATAGAAGTAAAAAATATTGATACAAATGAATAACATCTTTCAATCAGTATTCAACAAATAATGAAAGATTTTAATTTCAATGTAAATCTTTTTTTAGTGTGTTGATATGGTATGTTATATTTGTTTACAACATAATGATCATAATGTTGTGTCAAGTTCATTGAAACACTTAAAATTATACTTAAATATTCAAATTTATTTGATTTTGATCAATTATTAATTTCAACCCAAATTGGATCTATAGAAGAAATGCGTGTTAGTGAAGCCTTAAAAACAGGTAAATGCTGAGAAAAAAAACAAGAATTTTTTTTTCATTTGTTTTTTTTTCTAAAACAATAGCTTATTCAACATGTCAACGTTGATTTATTGAAATGAATGATAAATTCGATTCAACATCAATGATTAATAATGAAAAACGAACATCAACTGCTAAACTTGTTCATCAATTATATTTTTTTCCGATTAGATATATACTTAATATGGATGGTACGATAAAAAGTGATGATGAATCACGTATTAGTGTTAAATGTACTATACCAATATGTCTATCGTATTTATAAACAATTTGATCCATTTGTTTATCTTACTGAAAGTATGTTTAATTCTTGTTTGACTTTTTTTTATAATCCAAAATTATTTCTAATGTCGTAACAGTAGGAGGGCCTAGATGAAGGGGATTGTGGCAGAGTTTAGTTGACGTGGCTTCAATTGGTTAAGGTCTCAAAGTTTTAGTGAAAGTTATCTGATAGATATGACAATTTCACTATTAAATTGTTGAAACGTATATATATATTGGAATCTGAAAATTCAAGAACGGAGATTTCTTGATATTGATCCAGCAGCTCTAGTTCTATTCCTACTTTTAATTTTTTTGAAATCAACAAAAGACTAGAACATTTCAGACTCGAAAAGATATCAAGTAGAACACTTTATTGAAGCTTAAAGCCTGCATTTATACATCGGAGATTGAAATTATACAATCATATAACTACCTCAAAAAAGTTCTAAGCCGAAGTTCGAGATATGAAATCAATTGTATCCTCTAAG